CCACCTCGAACTGGCCGCCGAGTTCGACCGCCCCGTTGCCCCAGTTCTCGAGCACCAGGTACCACTGGCCGTCGGCGTCGGAGTTCGGGTTGTCGAAGTTCTGTGCTTCGACGCTGAAGAGCTCGCCCCAGTGGCGGTTGGTGGTCCAGGTCCACGACGTGCCGGCCGGCACGGGGTCCTCGAGTTCTTCGATGGCGGCGATCAGGGTTTGCTCAGACCCGTCGATGAACCCATCGACGGTGAACAACCCGATGTCCTCGCTGATCACCTCCAGGCCGGGCGCCGCCTGCCCCTGCTGGAGCTGCGGGAACTGCAAAGCGTCGGCCCGGGCGTCGGCCTCCCGGCGGAAGGGGCTCAGCTCCGACTGCGTGCCGTCCGGTGAGACGATCGAGAGCCGGAGGTCGTCCACGTCACCGCTCTGGACCAACGTGGTGAACTCGATCCACTCCAGCGACAAGAAGTCTTCCGAGATCGACGGGTCGATCCGGAACTGGATTCGCGAGTCGCCGCGGCCGCTGCCGTCGGCGATCAGGTCGTTGAGGTCACCCTCGGGGTTGTACCAGGGCCCGGCTGTGATTGCGCTGCCGACTTCCCCGCCGTCGAGGGTGATGTTGCTCCAGCCGAAGTCGTTGGTCCACTCGGAGTACCAAGCGTTGTTGATGTCGGTGTTGCTGATCCCGCCGGGCACCTCGAAATCGGTGTTCGCACCGATCTCGATCTCCGCGAGTGGCTGCACACGGATCGGGACCGAGCCGTTGTCGATCGCCGTGGTGATCGTTACCGACTCGGTGAGGTGCTGGTCGTAGGTCGCCCAATCCTCGGCGAGTTGCACGGCGATCTCGGCGTCGACCAGGCCGTGGGCGTAGCCGTACTCCTCAAGGTAGTCGCCGTAGCCCCAACTCACCGTGAACCCCGAGCCGGTCTCGAAGAGCAGGTCGCCGTTTGTCAGCGGGTCGAAGGGCAGCCCTTGGGGCCCCTCGGAGATGTCGCCGTTGGTCGTCGTGCGTGAGAAGCCTTTCGTCGCGTGCGAAGAGGGACTGACCAAGCTGAACGTGCCATCCGCGCCGGTCGGGTTGAAGTTCGCCGGCCAGGCGACCACCGGGTCACGCGTCGGGTCGAACATCTGGTCGGGGCCGACAAAGCCGAGCGCCTCCAGGGGCACCGTCGCCAATGCGCCGAAAGGCACTTCCATGTCGGTGTAGAACGGGCCTTCGAAGAACCCACGGACGTGATCCGGATCGCCGTAGAACGGCAGGATGGCGTTCTCGATGGCCGACTCGAACTCGGTTTCGCCTTCGTCGTTGGGTTCACCGGAGATTCCGATCTCGACGTAGCGATACTGCGGGATCTCGTACTGGTCCTCGAAGTAGTTGTAGGGGTTGACGACCCAGGTCTCGCTGAACTGGTCGACTTGGACCGCCGACTGCAGCAGGATCTGCTGCACGTCGCGGTACGAGAGATTGGGGTTCGCCTCGAGCATCAACGCGACGACGCCGCTGACGATCGGAGTCGCTGCGGAGGTGCCGCCGAAGTCGGACGTGTAGTTGATATCCGGGAAGAAGTCGCCATCGAGCTCTTGCCCAAAGACCGGCGAGCCGTTGAACCCGTTCTCGCCGGTGATGTCGGTCGTCCATACGCCGGCGGTCAAGCCTTGAGCGGCGCCGATCGTCGGCGCGGCGGTGGAGGACGGGGCGACGATCAAGACGTTGGCGCCGGTCTCGCTGAATGATCCCCGGGAGCCCGTGGCGACGTTCGCGTACGAACCGTCGAAATCGACCGATCCCACCGCGATGGTGTAGATGCTGTTGGTCGATTGGTCGTATTGGGAGGAGTCGTAGATTCCGTTGTCGGTGAATGGGTCGAGGAACCCGGCGCCCGCGCCGTTGCCCGCTGCGACTAGGTTGATGGCGCCGAGCGCTTCGATCTCGGTCGTTTGGAAGATGCCGTCGCCGTTCTGATCGATCCAGGTGCCGCGGCCCAAAGTCGCCGCGGTGCGATAAGCGTCTAGCGTGAGCGGGCCGAGCGCCGCCGCCACTCGTGTCTCGTCGGACGGGCCGTAGCTGCGGTTGAACACATCGACGACTTGTCCCGGGTTTGAACCGTCGTCCCCCGGGGCGGGGATGCCAGCGAACTGGAGGATCGACTGCGCCTCTCTTTCGTCGAACGAGCGAGGGGAGCCAGTGCCGTCGGCTGCGCCAAGGATCAATCGAATTGGGACGAGATCGGAGCCGTAAGCCACGCCTACCGTACCCGTGTCGTTGTCGAGAGCACCAATCAGACCGGCGACCGAAGTGCCGTGGGCGTCGCTTGTGTCGATGAAGGCTGGGCTGTTGTCGTCATCAATCAGGTCGAGCAATGAGCCAGGCTCGCTCAGCAGCACGAACTGCAAGTCTTCGTGGTTGAGGTCGAAACCGCCATCGACAACGGCGACCTGTACGCCCGCGCCGGTGTAGCCGCGCTCCCAAGCCCCAAGAACGTTGATGTCGATCAGGGCGAGCGACTGCTCGAACGTCGGCGAGTTCGGTTGCTCGACCTGTTGCCCGTTGGCCAGAAGGTGCCACTGGTCTTGGAAGTACGGCTCGTCGGTCGGCGTGCCGACGACCGTGAGCATCTGCCGCTCTTCCAAACGCTCGACGCGGCCGCGACGCGGCGCCCGCTTGAGCGGCTTGGTGGCCCCGCCGAACAATCGTGTCAGCGAGTGTCGGCCCGAGCGACGAGAGGGTCGGTTCTTTCGCACTTCTCTTGTCCCTGTCTTTGAGAGATAACCAGCCGTGTCCCGCGGCCGGTTGGGTGCAACGAAGTTGCTTCGTTGCCGTTGGTGTCGATTATTCCGGTCGCGTTGCGCCGAGTGGGCGCTCGTTCTCCGAAACGCGGCAGACCGCAAAGTGACCCCGGGCTGGGGTCACACCGAGTCCGCCACGGATCAAGGCTCAAAAAGTACTGACGCTGTCACGCGTTGCGTCGCGGTAATCGACGCAGTCTTCCCGTTTTGACAGCCATTTCAGACTAACCACGCCAAAAATCGCCGTCAAACTTCCGGCAACCGGCGAGGTTGGGCCCGGACGCCACTCGCGTGGCGGGTTGCCGCCGGTTGGCTCGGCCGGCTCCTCGAAACCGGCGATTTGGCCGCCGGCGCCCCCGCAAGAGTGGAAAACTTTGCGGCCTGTGCGGAAACGACTAGTTCGTCCGATCGCAACGCTCCGATAGACAATCTCGAACAACCGGCTTGAAAGGCCGCCCGGGGGGGCGCCGACGGGGGTTCCTCGCTCGGGCTAGCCGCCCGGCCGGGAGAGCACTCTTCGAGCATCCGCGACATCTCGACTGTCGTGACACTGTGGGGGGAACTGCGATGAGGACACTGCGTTGGACGACGCTGCGGGCAGTCTGCGGGATGGCCGTCGCACTAGCGGCGACGACCGCCCTGGCCCAGGCCCCGGGCGCGCTACGCATGCCGGCTTCGATGGCGGCGCAGCCTCAAGCGGCGGCGATGCCCCCTTGGACGCCCGCCGCGGCGCCGGGGCAGCCGCTGGTTAACGCCTACGGCGAGCCGCTTGTGCAGCCGGCCCAGTACTGCGGCCCGGTTGCGGGCGGCGGCTGCTACGGCGACCCGATGGGGGGCTGCTACGGATACGGCCCCGGCGGCGGCGGTTACGGGATGCCCGGCGGCATGGACCCGTTCGGCGGCGCCTACCAGAACACCGAGCAGTGCGGCCCGCACTACTTCGACTTCTCCGCCGAGTACCTCTACTATCAACGTGACGACACCGAGATATCGGAGTCGGCTGTGTTCTCGACCAACGGGCAGATCAACTCGGCCGGCGTCCCGCCGGTCCTCGGGCCGATCCCGCCCGCCCAGGTCCGCCTGCGATTCGGGGACCCGGTCTCCGACGACCTGAACGGCTACCGGCTCGCCGGTCGGATCGACGTCGGCGCCCTGAGCGTCGCCGAGTTCACCTACAGCGAGCTGACGACCGGCACGGGCGCCGCGACGATCAACGACCCGCTCAGCACGCAGCTCTTCTCGATTTACAGCCTCTACGGCAGTGCGACCAACGGCGACTTTGGCGTAGGCGGCTCGGCCGGCGCCCCGACCGGGTCGGACTTCGAGGAGACCGGCAACGCCCTGCGGCACTCGCTCACCTACAAGAGCGACCTGCAGTCGGCCGAGGCCTCCTTCCGTCGCTACTGGGTCGGCTACAACCCACGCGTCAGCGGAACGGTCTTGATCGGCTTCCGCTACACGAGCCTCGAAGAGGCCATGGGCTTCGGGTCGTTCAACGAGGTGGACGTCTCCGATCCGACCGATCCGCCTGAGATCGTCGGCAAGTCGATCCTCGTCAGCACCGAGGCGAGCAACTACCTGTCCGGCCTCCAGGTCGGCGGCGACGCGTGGATCACCATCGTGCAAGGCCTGCGGATCGGTTGCGACGGCCGCATCGGCCTCTACGCCAACGACACCGAGTACGCTGCTTCGGTCGTCGCCTCTGACGGCGACCCCACGGGCGTGCTCGGCAAGGCTTGGTCCGACACGCAGGTGGCGTTCCTCTCCGAGCTTCGTGTCTCGATGGTGGCCGACATCGCCCCGAGCGTCTCGCTCAAGGCGGGCTACGAGCTGTTGTTCATCGAGAACGTGACGCTCGTGCAGGACGGCATCGGATTCGTCCAGCCGTACGGCGACATCAACAACATCGCTCAGCAGTTGGCCATCGATCCTCAGACCCGCGGCCTGAACGGCATCGACACCAGCGGCAACGCGTTCTACCACGGCTTCCACGCCGGCCTGGAGTTCACGTACTGACGCGAACCATGCGGCACACCTTGCGGTCTAACGTCACGCCGCCCCGGGCAATCGCCCGCGGGCGGCGTTTCGCATGGCGAACGCCCCCGTGGGATGCCGCGTATTCCAATAGGCAGGCCCGGCGTTCGACTTATACTAGAGGGGAGCACCCGGGCCGGCTCGCGGCCCGCTGACGCGACCCCGTGGAGAACCACGCCGCTTAATGGAAATCGATCGCAAACAGAGCGTCGACAGCGAGTCGGCGATCCTCGTCGGAGTGCAACTGGCCGACAGCCCGAAGCTGTCGGAGGAACCGCTGGAGGAACTCGCCGGTCTGGTCGAGTCGGCCGGCGCCGAGATCGTCGGCCGCCTGACCCAGCGACGCGAAAGCCCCGACATCGCCACCTACGTCGGCAAGGGCAAGCTCGAGCAGCTCGAGCAGATGGTCAAGGCGTCCGATGCGGACGTCATCGTCTTCGACAACGACCTCTCGCCCGCTCAGGTCCGCAACCTGGAGCAGGCCACGAAGGCGAAGGTCCTCGACCGGACCGAGCTGATCCTCGACATCTTCAGCACCCGCGCCCAAACGCACGAGGCGCGCCTCGCGGTGGAGCTCGCGCAGCTCGAGTACTCGCTGCCGCGGCTCAAACGGATGTGGACCCACCTGTCGCGCCTGAAGATGGGCGTCGGCATGCGGGGTCCCGGTGAGAAGCAGCTCGAAACCGACCGCCGCCTGGTCGAGAAGCGGATCAGCGACCTGAAGCGCGACCTCGACAAGGTGCTTCACCGCAAGGAGCGCGAGGTCGCCGCGCGAGGCGACCGGATGACCGTCTCGCTGGTCGGCTACACCAACGCCGGCAAGAGCACGCTCCTGAACACGCTGACCGACTCGAAGGTCTACGCCCAGGATCAACTCTTCGCCACGCTCGACACCCGCACCCGCCAGTGGCGTCTGCCCGGCTGGGGCCCGGTGCTCTTGAGCGACACCGTCGGCTTCATCCGCGACCTGCCGCACCGCCTGATCGCGAGCTTCAAGGCGACGCTCGAGGAGTCGCGTCAGGCCGACCTGCTGCTGCACGTCGCCGACGCCAGCAGCCCCTCGGCCTGCGATCAGGTGCGCGCCGTCTACGCGGTGCTCGAGGAGCTCGGCATCGAGCAGAAGGACACGCTGCTGGTGCTCAACAAGGCGGACTGCGCCGAAGAGACCTCGCTGACCGTTCTTGAAGAGCGCTACCCCGGCGCGGTGCGCGTCAGCGCCAAGACGGGCGAGGGGCTCGACCGGCTCGCGATGGCCGTCAGCGATGCGCTGAGCCGCGACTTCATTGAGGCGGACATCGAGACCTCCGTCGGCAACGGTCGGCTGCTGGCGTACCTCGCCAAGCACGGCGAGATCCTCAGCCGCACGTTCACTGAGGACCGCGTGGTCGTGCACTGCCGCGTGCCGCGCAAGTACCTCGGTCGCGTTTCGACCGACGAGGCGGACATCCGCCCGCGCGAGAACCCCGCGCCGGAGGACGCCGTCGCCGGCGTCGCCCCGCCGCTCGACGGCGCGTCCCCCACGGAACCTCAGATCGGCGAAGTCGCGTGACGCTGTGTAGGTTGCGCGACACCGCCGAACGTCAAACGATCAAGAGACACCCTAGCCCCGACCAAGCTTGGTCGGGGCTACTTCGTTGACACGCAGCCGAACCGTCACCAATTCGTGGTTATGAAGCAGCTCGCCGGCCAACGGGCGCTCGTCACCGGCGCCTCCGGCGGGCTCGGACGGGCGCTCGCCATTCGGCTGGCGCGAGACGGCGTCGCGACGATCCTCTTCGCTCGCGGCCGCGACGGTCTCGACGACACGGCCCAAGCGATCGCCCGAGTTGGTTCGACTCCCTTCATCTGCGTCGGAGATGTGACCAACGCTAGCGACCGCCAGCGAGCGCTCGCCGCGGCGCGAGACGAACTCGGCGGGCTCGACCTGCTCGTGAACAACGCCGGCGTCAGCGCCCACGGCCGCTTCCACGAATCGTCGCCCGACCGACTGCGGCAGATCATGGAGGTGAACGTCTTCGCCGCCGCGGAGCTGATCCGCGAGGCGACGCCTCTGTTGGCGGAGAGCGATCGCGGCTGCGTCGCCAACGTCGGCTCGATCCTCGCCTGGCGCGGCGTGCCCCATAAGGCCGAGTACTCGGCGAGCAAGTTCGCGTTGCGTGGCCTCAGCGAAGCGATCCGCCCCGAGCTGGCCCGGCTCGGCGTCCACGTGCTGCACGCGTCCCCCGCGACGATCGACACGGCGCTGTTCGACCACCTCGTCGACAAGCACGGTGAGATCCCGTGGAAGCAACCGCGCGGCTACCCGCCCGAGCGCGTCGCCGACCGCATCGTCCGCGGTGTCGCACGCCGCAAGAACGAGGTCGCCATCGGCTGGAATGACTGGGCGTTCGTCCGCGCCGCCCGCTTCTCCCCCTGGCTGCTCGACCGCGTGCTAAACCGTTACGGTTAGCATGACCCCAGCCAGCCGGAAGCGTCAGCGCCCGGATCGAACCCGGTTACAGTTCCCAACGCGCCACCAATCCGGTCGCTGACGCTCGCGGCTAGCCGCCCATCGGATGGGACACATTCATGTCGCAGCTCGACGTCCTCTACGACGACGGCCCCGTGCTGGTCGTGAACAAGCCGTCCGGCTTGCTCACGCAGGCGCCGCGCGGGATCGACAGCCTCGAGCTGTGGGTCCGTGCGCACCGCAAAGAGCACGAGGAGCTCGGCGAGAAGTTCTACTTGGGCCTCGTCCACCGCATCGATCGCCCGGTGACCGGCGCGATAGTCTTCGGCCGTCACCTTCGGGCGACGCAGCGGCTCGCCAAGCAGTTCGAAGAGCGAACCGTCGGCAAGACCTACTGGGCCTTGGTCGAGGGCCGTGTCGAAGGCGACGAGGGCACGTGGCGCGACCACCTGCACAAGCGGCACGGCATGGCCCAGGCGATCGTCGTCCCTGAAGACGACCCACGCGGCAAGCACGCCGTGCTGCACTACCGCGTTCGAGGCCGGGGCGAAGGCCACACCTGGCTCGAGATCGAGCTGGAGACCGGCCGCACGCATCAGATCCGCGTGCAAGCCGCCAGCCGCGGCCACGCAATCCTAGGCGACGCCCAGTACGGCGCGACGACCCCCTTCGGCGAGCAAACCGAAGACGAGCGCGACCGACAGATCGCCCTGCACGCGCGAACGCTCTCGTTCCGCCACCCGATGCGCGACGAGGCGGTGGAAGTCACCGCGCCGCTGGGAGCGGCGTGGGATGCGTTCGAAACACCCTAGCCAGTGTTGCGTACCAGTAGGGTGCGATGAAGCGAAGCGGAATCGCACTCTACGTGTCGGCGGTCGCAACAGCGTAGTCGAACTCTTGTAGTCGCAACGCTGATTCGATGACAAAGTCGGTGCAGAAACGCACGTCACCGTCAGTTAAGGTCCGTCCAAGTTCTTGAGCCGAGTAGCAGTAGTAGTCGTCGGCCAATGTCTTCGCAACCATCGGCGTCAGCAGTTTGAATTTGGTGTACTTCCGATAGTCAATGCCGAGGCTTAGCACCTTGATTGCCTGCTGCATCGCCGTGATCGACTCCCTGGTCTTATCTACAAAATCGGCAATCCTGTCGGAGGGATCAAGGTTCATGAAGAAGCTACTCAAGAACTGCATGTCGTCGCCGAAAAAGAACGGCGAACGACCAAACTGGGAAGTCTTCCGCTCTTCGTAGTCCTCGACTAAGAACTCGAATGCCAGCGCGAAATTCTCCATGCTGTCGTCTATTTCCCCCCGTGCTGCGGCATGATCAGCGAGCGTCAGCTGCTCTTGTGCCCTCGCGCAGTCTACGAGGTCTCGAAGGTCTACTTGTTCGAATCCCAATCCGAAGATTGGCTCGCAGTTGTCGAGGAAGAAGTTACGCACGGTTGCTCGAAAGCCCTCTATGTCAATGCTGGAGGGAAGGGTGCCGTGATGTTTGAACGCCACGCGAGCTTTGTTTAGGCGCCGCATTGACTCTTGCTGTGACACACCGTGTTCGACGCGTTGGGCTAGTAGATCCCAATACTCCATGAAGGACGGTTGGTTCTTGCCGACATCCAGGTGCTCCGAGGCCAACTGCAGGAAGAGTTCTGCAGCATCGTGGAAGGTCAGGAGGCACAACGCGGATTGCGGTTCCGGCTGATGCGACTGCGCCATGCCCACACCATAGAAGTACCGAATAAGTGCGAGTCTTCTGACAACGATCGGGTCTAGGGATGGCATGAGAGATCAGGCGCGTGATTGGCAGATACCTAGTCGATGACACCGATAGGACCCGGCTTGGTTCAGGGTTGCAAGCCGTGGGTTCTGCATGGCGCGACTGACTGTCGATGCCAGCTACGCCATGACTCACACGGCGAGGTAGCGTGTTCAGCTAGATGGCCGACCTCTGAGCGTGAGTCGGTGGCCCATGGAAGCGACAATGGGACGTTTCAACCAGGCGCGATTTGCCACCTACGCTCACATGACCCCCGACAATACTCCAACCCGTTGACCGGCAACACGTTGCGCGCCGAAACATGGGGGTTTTGTCGCGGGGCGCCCGAAACAGGCGCCCCGACAAAAGTCACTGGCCGGAGAAAGGCGTTGACGCGTCGTCGTCACGCCGCGCGGGCTAGCGGCGCCTCGGCGCCGCGTAGCTCGGCCAGGAGCGTGCGGATCTGCTCGCGGAGTTCTTGGCGCTCGGTCGCCCAGCGGGCTTCGAGCTTCTCGAACTGACGCTGCTGCCGGTCGAGCTCGCGCTCGCGGCCCTCGAGCCGGTCGGCCGCGTCGCCGAACTCCTCGTGCCGGCGGTTGGCCCACTCGGTGAGCTCCAGCCGCTGCGCGTCGAGCCGCTTCAGCTCGACGTCGACCTGGGTGGCCGCGTCGCGTAGCGAGCCGCGCTCGTCGGCGATCCGCTGCAGGATGTGCCCGTAATGGTCGGCGAGCTGCGCGCGGACGTTCGAGATCGACCGCGTCAGCGTCGCCGGCGCGAGGACGCCGGTCAGTTGGGCCCACGTCTCTTCGGTGGCGAGTCGCATCTCGAGCACCTCGCGCTGGGTGTTCTCGACCTCCGCCTGCAGCCGGCGGAGCGACTCGGCCCGTTGGTCGAGCTCTTGCTCACGGCGGTCGACCCGCTGCCGGGCCGACTTCGCCTCGGCCTGCCACGCGGCGCGGTCCGACTCGCTCGAGGAACGGTCGCGGTCGATCCGCAGCCGCACCTCAGCCTCGCGGCGTTCGACCTCCGCCAACCGACGGGCCAACGCGGTCCGCTCCTCGGCGAGCAACTGCTCCGCCGCGGCGAGGTTCGCGTCGCGCGACGCCGACGCGGCGAGCTGCTCTTCGAGCTCCGCGACGCGGCGCTCGGTCGCATCGAGCCGCTCGAACCGCTTCACGGCGGTGTCGATCTCCTGCTGCCGCACGGCGATCCGCTGCTCGCGTTGGTCGAGCGTCGCCTCGGCGGCGAGGCGGTCTTCTTCGATCTGCCGCAGCTCGGCTTGGCGAAGCTCGATCTCGGTCAGCCCGCGTTGCAGCTCGCGGCGGCCGTCTTCGATCTGGGCGGCCGCTTCGATCAGCTCCTTGCCGTGGCGGTCGAGTGTCAGCCGCTCGTCGTCAAACCGCTGCTGGCGTTCGCCGAGAGCCGCTTTGGCCGTGGCAATCTCGGCCGTCTGCTGGTCGAGCTGCGCGTGCCGCTCGTCGAGCTGCCGCTGGCGGTCGGCGATCGCTTCGAGCTGCTCGGCGCTGGGGCCGGGCCGGTCGAGCGCCGCCTCACGGGCGTCGAGCGCCTCGCGTTCGGTCTCGAGGGCCGAGCGGGCGGCGGCGACCTTCGCGTCGAGGTCCGCTTCTTGGTTGGCGACCGCCTGCTCACGCTGGGCGAGCTCCGCCGCGCGTTGGCGGAGCCACTCAGCGAGCTGGCCTGCGTGTCCCTCGGCGGCCGGGGCGCTGGCGAGCGACGGCGGCGCGGCGGGCAGGGCGGGGGCCGCTTCGACCTGGACGACCGACTCGACGTGGGCCGGCTTCGCCGTGGCGGGCCGCACCGAGTGGGCGGCGTCGATGCGGGACTCGCGTTTCGGTTGTTCGCTCATCGTGGGGGGCGCCTTCGCCTGCGATGCTAGCTGCGTGAGGCCGGATAACCGGCACAATCCCCCCAGGTCGTCATCGGCGCCCGGCGGGACGCTCCTCCAGCTTTCCTAGCGCGCATGAAAAACGGGGCGGGGAGAAGGCTCCCCGCCCCGGCGTTTCGTTGGCTTGTCGCGAGGCTCAGGCTTTGGCCGCGTCGAGCGCTTCTTGCAGGCGGTTCTTCGCTTGGACGCCGACGAAGCGGTCGACCACCTCGCCGCCCTTGAAGACCATGATGGTCGGGATGCTGCTGACGCCGTAGTTCTGCGCCGCGCCGGGCGCGTCGTCGACGTTCAGCTTGGCGACCTTCGCCGAGCCGGTGTTCTCACCGGCGAGCTCTTCGACGACCGGGGCGATCTGACGGCACGGGCCGCACCACGGGGCCCAGAAGTCGAGCAAGACCGGCTCGCTGCTCTGCAGCACTTCGGCCTCGAAGTTGGCATCGGTGATTTCTAGAACGCCCATGGTGGACCTCCGCTTAGCTGAGTGACGGGACGGCGAGCGACCCGACGCTCGATGGGTGACAGGCAGGATCTCGCGCTGAAGCGGCTTAAGCGATCGCTATAAGCCTGTTCAGAGCCAGATTTTAGGGGCCTTCCCGGCAGTGTCAACGGACGCTGCGGCGGGTCGGCCGGAGGGGGGCGGGGGGACGTTGTCGGCTGGCCCCGGGACCGGTCTACTGGCGTTCACCACGCCTTCGCTCCCCTACAACGCAGGAACCGGCCCGATGGTTCGCACCCCCAGCACGATGCAGCCGCTCGGCACGGCGGCCCCCGAATTCTCCCTGCCGAACGTCGACGGCTCGACCGTCTCGCTGGCCGACTTCAGCGGCAAGCCGCTGCTGGTCATGTTCATGTGCAACCACTGCCCGTTCGTGATCCACCTGGCCGACGCCCTCGCGGCGTTCGCCAGCGAGTACCAGGCGGAGGGCCTCTCGATCGTCGGCGTCAGCTCGAACGACGTCGCCAACTACCCGGCCGACTCGCCGGAGAAGATGGTCGAGGAAGCGAAGGCCCGCGGGTACACGTTCCCCTACCTGTACGACGAGACGCAGGACGTTGCGAAGGCGTATCAGGCCGCCTGCACGCCCGACTTCTTCCTGTTCGACGCGGCCCACAAGCTCGCCTACCGGGGGCAGTTCGACAGCAGCCGCCCCGACAGCGGCGTCGCCCCCACGGGCGAGGACCTGCGGGCGGCGTGCGACGCGGTGCTAGCGGGTCAGGCGCCCAGCGAGCAGCAAATGCCGTCGATCGGCTGCAACATCAAGTGGAAGCCGGGCTCGGAGCCTGAGTACTTCCTCTGAGCAAGCGGGGCTCGCGCTCTGAGCATTCCACCGTGGGCTCTGAGTA